GGCGTGATCGGAAGATCGACAGCGATTCTTCGACGAAGAGAAAAAAGACGTGAGGATGATATTCTTCTCTCCCTCTCTCTTACTCTTTCCCTAATGGAAATGCGGAGGGGGCCGGTCGCGCCGTTTTCGCCATCACACTTCAACACACGGACGATCCATTAAAAACTTTTCGCGAGGTAAGTAAGCAGCAAGAGCGGTTCAACGATCAACGATAACTGGCCATTCAACATCGAGTAACGTCTTAAGATCTACTTAAATTCCCGAGAGGGGAACGAACGGCGCGACCGTCCCGGCAATTTGCTCGTCGATCAGGCTGCAATAATGAAAAAACTTCTCGCCATCTTTCTTACTTTTTTTGTACTTCGCACGTACACCTCGACTTCTTTTTCTTCTCTTCGAATCCTTCCTTCCTTCTTGCCTCCTTTTGTACCTGTGACTCGCATTGCAAATAATTCGCATTGCGCCTCTCTCAATTTTTCTCTCTTTTATTTTTTTCAGACTACCCCGTCGTCATCGTCGAACGGGGCTTTCTAAAAACGCCGCGGTGTGATCGTGACCGGCAAAATCAAGACTCGGACCGACCTCGTGAAAAAAAGCTCAACGACAAGCTGCGAGTCTCGACTTGTCTGATCGAGAAGTGTCCCCCTCGTAGGAGAATCCCAGCGATATTATAAATATCAGTGGATTACCCGAAGAAGGGGACACCCTTCGCCGATCTCCCTTTTTCTTTCTATCTGTGTCTTCGATCTGTACTTCCAGAGTTGCATGGTCGAGCAACGGGGATGAGAGCACGCACACGTCGAGAGGCTCGAGTTGGTCGAGCGGAATCTGCTCGTTGCTCAAGCCCCTCGAGAGCCGTGCGGCGGGCATAATCCGAAAATCGGCGCCGATCTTCGGAGACATTCGAAGCTCCGGGGGAGTTAAATCGTTCTCTCCTCGTTCCGTGGACCTCTCTCTTCGTCAGCTGAACCGTCGATTGGCGCACGTCGCGCGCGGATACGTATACACCACGTTTAATCATGCTAGTGATATATGCGTACGATAATCATTAATTCGCGTATATCGCTTACGTACTAGGAAATCGCGCGGAAATCGTGCGCGTCACCGTCGACGTGTCGGGCCCGCACCCTGTCGATTCCGGTCGGCGAGAATTCGCCGGCTTCGCTGAATCACGGATTCTCCGTCGCGGAGACGACGGAGGACGATGGTGAGTGAGTGTATGTGGTATATGATCAATCGGAATCGGCGGCTGGTGCGAGCGAACGACCGACCTCTGTCGTCGTGACGCGCCGATCCTGTCGTTTTAGCGTTTCGTACAGCGTCGAAATATCCATTGCGTGGTGTCAGAGAAGTTGCCGAGGCAAGTACAATATATAACTAGGCATGCAACAATACTTGGAGTAGTACTTTTCTCGAATTAAAAATAGCGATCAACCAATCAATCTCTCTCTCTCTCTCTCTCTCTCTCTTCCTCTCGTACCCTTTATCTCCCACGTATTTTACTCTCTCTCTCTCTCTCTCTCTCTCTCTCTCACCCACTCTCTCGCGGTTGCTCTTTTACTCATTAAGTAACATTACTTGGGCCCAGGAAGAATGTAATTTTTCTTCTTTTTTTTTTTTCTTTCCTCCCTTTCTCGCGAAAGTTACACAGAGTCGCCGCGCGCCGCTAACGTCTTTGCTTTCGTGTGTCTGTGTATGGTTGTATGTGGCTCCATGTGAATAGATTAAAAAAAATTCCCCCTCCTCTCGAAGTGCACACACGGATAGTCGTTTTCCTTCTATCTCGTTCTGTTCCGTTCAATCTGCTCTCTCTGTCCGCCGCCTCCTCCTCTCCCACGCGGAGAAAGTCCTCTCTTGATTCGCGACCGGCACCGAAACGCTCGCGATGCATGCGTTTGCGATTTCATACCGTCAGGGAGCCCCCCTCTCCATACACGGGTCGGATGATGAGCAAGATAACGTCGTGGAATAACGTGGCGACTTGGGGGAGTAAAGTACCGCTTCTCGATATCGCGAATTTAAAGGAAACGGGCATCGATGAGACGGCAAATGTAACGAAATCTGTCTGATCCCAAGTCGAAAACAGTACCGTTGGTCTTAGAAAGCTGCATTTTCCCTTCACCGCTTCTCTCTCGATTTCTCTCTTTCTTTTCCATGATATTCCGACCGAAAAGAGTTCGCAGATGCATCGTGTTAGAAAAATACCGCACGACTTACGCGCATGTAAGGAGAGAACGTACCGTTTGCGACTCGCGCTTTTGTCTCGAGAGAGTCCTTCCTGAGGATTTCCGCGGTCGGCATGAAATCGCAATCGCCATCCATCGGACGCGGGTCTCGATCGGACGGGGGTCCGCCGCCACCACAGCGCCGCGAGTCTCGCGTTGTTTCCGTGATCGGCGACGCTCGCCGTGGTCGGCACAATTAACGCGCGCTGCGAACGTACAAAAATATATTATGTGACATCTATAATCCGCTATAGGTTTCTAAAAACTCGTCTTTCTCTCTCACTTTTTTTTCTTGTTATTATTAATTCACCGGCAATCGACGTCGCCGAGCGCCGCCGAGGGACTCTGCGCTCTCTCTCACTCTCTCTCTCTCTCTCGCGCGGGAACCCTTCCGGCCGGACGAGACCTCGTTTCGTTTCGTCGTTTCTCCCTTGCGTTTCTCTCCCTTCCGCTGTTCTACCACCTCGTCGATCGTCCGTCACGAGAAGTCGTTCAGCGTGGAAAGGAAATTGTCGGGGAAGAGGCGGGACGCTCGACGAAGTTAAGTCAAGGGTCGGCCGAGTCGCAGTTCCCCACGTGAAAACGTCAGCGTCTTTGTGCGCGTTGGAAAGAGGGAAAAATGTGCGCTATAAACAATTCGGAAAATATACAGCGAATTTATCTCATTAGCCCTTCCGTCACTGACGAGACAATTGACCTTTTCGTCGTTCTCAACTTTCAAACGTATATAATAATTCCGCGTCTACCAATTTCAACGAGCTCATCGTGACCTTTTCCTGTCAAATCGGAAAAACATTTCTTGTTCGTCAAAGCGGCATACCATCGAAAAGGAAAGATCGTGTGGAAGGGTTAGATGAAATTTAATAATTCACGTCCTCGATAGAAGCGACTGCGTCGGCCGTTGTTTGACTTAACCGTATCGATGTCTAAGATAAGGTTGCTACAAGCGGTGTCCTCTTTCTCTCTCTCTCTCTCTTTCTTTCTCTCCAAGATTGTTCTTTATCCATTTATCCGTTTCATTTGATTCGTCTTCTTTGGCGCTCGTCGCCCGACTTCCTCACCTTTATTAACGGAAAGAAAAGGATCCCCGATACTATTGACGAAACGTCGATTGGACCACTCGTGTGAGAGCGAGAGAGAGAGAGAGAAAAAGCCGCGCCCGAAAGCTGCTCTGAGTCGCTGCGAGGAAACTGCAGCGACCGCGCCGCGCAGTAACGAGGACACCGCGCGTTGGTGTGATGAACAACTAGCTATACCATAAGAGATCACTATAATCCAAACAGGAACACAGTGCTATGTAACGCTCACGTGGAATGTACTGATCACCGTCGACGGGGGAAAGCCTCGCCGAAGGGGCGAGTCCTCTCGTCGATCATACTTGCATAATAAAGCGCACATAATGAGATACACGCCTACAAAGGATCGCACAGACGGAAACCCGATCGTGGCGATCGCCATATCGGGTGGGAGGAAACATCGACGGAGATCGGTTCGGATAGATCGGCACAGCTCGAAAGAAAGGCAGCTCGAAAAGTTCCGGGATTATAACGATTTAATTACAAACATGATACAAGTACAAATTACAATATAAGTTAATTACAAAAAAACATAAATCTTTCTTCCGATGATGATCGGAATGACTTCGTAAAAAATAATGAGAGCGGACGAGGGAGAGTCGTCCGATACGTGGATACAAGGACGCGAGAAATCGTTTATCCGCGTTCTGCAAGATCGTGAGTTTCATATCGGTAATTATATCGCCTGAAAACAGAGTCCCGGGGTTCTCGACGGAGTGCATTTCTCTTTCTTTCTTTCTCTCCCCCTCTCTCTTTCTGCCCCCCCCCCTCGCTCGAAAGAGCTGCGTTTCCACTCGATGCCTCGAAATGAACTTTTTTCAAAAGGATGGATATTGATTTTCTGAACCGCGCCGTCGATGTCTGGGAAGGCCAGCTCGCAAGGCAAGAGACGTAGAAAAATAAGAATAAGACCAATGCTCGTGCGTAATGTGAACTGAAAATATTATTAAAAAGCATTTTACAACAAAAAATAACTAAAAAACAAACAAAAATCGATTTACAATTAAATTAAGAACAATTGAGTTGTGTATCGTCTAAAAATAATAATATAATAATATAATAATATTAATAATAATAATAATATTAATAATAATAACAACAACCAGTACAAAAAAAAAAAGAAGAAGAGAGACTGACAGTGAAAATAGTGACAGTGTTTCGAGACAGTGTTTCTTCGCTTCTCATCTCGCGCGCGTCTCGGGACGTCTCGTTTCCTTTTTTTTACTTTCTGACAACGCGACTGCGAATGTAGAACACGCGCGCGCATATATATATAAAACACACACAGGCACGTAGTAACATATACACACACACATGTACATCTCGGTTCTTACTTTGGGAGCAATGCGTAGGAATGGAAATTTAATCTCTTGTCTTGTGGTGCACGTCGCGCAGTCGATCACTGCGACGCGCGGTAGTGGTAGTGACGGCTAGCTGGCAAGGTGGCGCATCGTCTCTTTTTTCTTTCATTTCTTTTTTCTTTCTTTTCCCTCTCGATTCTCGTGACAACGCAATTGTGATACGCAACGATATAATCATTGAATAATAATAGTAGTTGTAGTAGTAGTAGTAGTAGTAGTAGTAGTAGTAGTAGTAGTAGTAATAATAATAATAATAATAATAATAATAATAATAATAATAATAATAATAATAGTGTAACTAATTAATGATAATCATAAAGTAACTAAATTGGATATAATAGCAATAATAATCGTAATAAATGATAAATGATAAAGACAAAAAATAATGGTAATAATATTAACTACATATCAACATACACTTAAGCGGTATAAATACTAGTGGACAGATACCTCGTGTGATGACCGTCTAGATAATAGTGCGAAATCTTTCCCTCGCGTATTTCCCGAAAACTTTTCGTTCTTGGAACTCCGTTTTTTTTTCGCTGAAAGGGGAGAGGGTCGAGCATTTTCACGGATGAACGCGTTTCCATTCTCGTCGAGTTATTTAAAAGAGATTATAGATTGAGTGGCGCGCGCGATTATTAATTAATATGGAAACGACACGACGACTCGTCGAATGAATGAAAAAAAAAAAAAAAGAATAGAACAATACGGCGTGGCCCGACGCGAAAATATCGTCGAGTCGTCAGACCGGAGACAAAAAAATCGGAACAGAACCGCCGCGAGAGGAAGTACGGGAATTGATTGGGATGATCCCGACCCTGATTCTTCTTTCCTTGCGATCTCACTCAAGCGCACGCATACACACACTGCGAATATCCGCCGTCCTTGTTCGTCCTGGCATATTGTCTTCGCGGCGAGGACCGATCGGAAAATGTCCAAGAGAGAATTGCTCGGTCGACTCTTTCACTCGGGTTGATAAGCGACAGGAGCGTAGAAGCACACACAGTGGCGATTCACAATCTCGACCGTTGCGGCTTGACGGAGAAAGATCGCGGAAGACGTTCGCGGGACGAACAAGGACGCGGACTCCACGACGATCACCTGGTTCGGTAGTCCTCAACAATTATTCGCGTTAAGATCGCAGGATTCACCGTTCCAACCGTTCCCGTATACGCGCACACTTTTTTGTACCCGTCGAATTTCATCGATCGCGCGCGGAACGGGTCGAAATCAAACTCGCGAGTGTCGATTAATATGAGGGGTCCACCTTACTTGAGAAACTTGCTTCTACCAAGTCGACCGAGCCGAAAACATTCCTACTTAAATCTAGAATCTCGCGTGTTATCGATAAAGAGATATTATAATGGACTACAAAATAAAAAAAAAAGACAGAACGCTTAGACTACAAATCTTTCTTTCCTATCGTATAATGTAGTAGTAATAGTAATGCTATAAATTCGTACTGGTTGATTCAGAAATTCAAGACATTCGGATTAGAGTCCCGCTAGAGCTCATTACAAGGATCTGGATACGATCGGATCTCGACTACCGAATCAAGCAATCGGGGAAACAGCGATGACTACGAATTGTGCCCAGGATCCTCCAGGCGGGCTGGTCGATCGCGATAAGAGAATAATTCCGGGATGTAGGAGCGTTCGAACGTAGTTCGGTGAGCGCTCCTCCAGCCGAATCGCCGCGAATGGTCGTCCGTTGATAGACCACCGTTTCCTCATTTAAAAATACGTCACTTTCATTCGAAAAGGGATATATCCGCGAGCCGACTGGATGAACGTTGGCGCTACGATCGCGCTCGTCCGATGGAGCAACGGAAAATCAAAGCTTTAAAACGATTAAATTCATCAGTGCGTTAAAACCCGTCGTATCGTTCGACTGACGTAAGATTCCTCTTCCGTGGCTGAGCGGATGAGACGACGAACGCGGAAGTCTGGAAGTTTCAGACCGACACAGCTAGGGCTTTCCAAAACTTCCAGCACGTTGCGAGCGTCAATCGACGTTTCCTCGCGTTTAAATCGTCGACAATCGGCAGCCGGGAAAGATCCTGGTGCAATTCGCGAATCCCCATGATCGAGTAATGGAGCCGTTGGAAGGACGTGCCAGCTAGCCTTTTTTTCCCTTCGCTAAATTCCGGGGGAGTACGATCACGTATCGCGTCGATGAACGGAAATCGCATCGAAAGCCGCAATACAATAATAATAATGTAATAATAATATAATATAATATTAATAAAAAAATAATATATAATAATAGTAAACATGCATGGAGTCGCACGGTGAATAGCCGTGGAACTTCCGGCGACCCATCCAACAAAATATATTAATACTATAGGTTCGACAGCGGAGGGAGGGGAGCGGAAGGAAAAGTGTGAATACAATGCCGACGCGAGCCTAAAACGGTCGCGCGCGGCAGTGTCGGGTCGCGAGCGGGGTCGTAGAGGATCATGATAGCGGTGGTTGGTGGCATCTTATCCGTTGACGGTTTGCAGGATGGATGGTGGTGGGATTGGTGGTGATGGTTTCGTCGAAATCCGCAAGCTACGACAAACACGTGTATGTTTTTATAATAAGCACAGCGACGCGAGAGAGGATGATGACGAGAGGAACAGAGCGTGCGCCTCAGGCTGCGACAATGTATGCGTACAGAGAGAACGAAATACAGAGCTAGAAGGAGAAGTCTTATACAATCAGCTACGACAACTAATGTGGCTACTATATGCGTTCACTAAAGATACCTTACTACAGTAATAAAGAAATTAAAAAAAAGAAATAATAATAATAATAATAATAAAGAAAACGCGAAAGAAAGATAGAAAGAACGAAGATCTCGTCGAAGGATAGGGAATATCTGGAGAAAGCGACAACGGCCCGTGTTCTCTCTCGCTTTCGTTCGTTGACGGCAGCGGTTGACCATGACAGGACAACGGCCGGTGATGGACGGCCGTCCGCGTCTCATTTCGCTGCGAGAGAGGCGAGCCCCGAGAATGAAGCTTCGCGACGACAACAACGTAGCGCAGCGCGCTTGATATACGCGCGCGCCATTGGCTTTCCTTCACGCGTGGGGTATGATCGGACACCCGATGATGTGTGTGTGTGTGTGGAACGCCCTACTGGCTGCGCTTTTCCGCTGCTCTATACCGCGTATTTTCCTATACTCGAGGAGATTCATTCACCTTGCGACACATTCTCCGCGCGAGTCCTCGATGATTGCCGTCTCCGCGCGAGTCGAGCGATCCTCTCTCATTCCTCGCCGACGAGTTCGCAAGGTTCCGACCGCGGTCGTGTTCTCGGTGGTCGCCCCGATGGCGTTTTCGGAAAGTATCAGTCGCGACACGCACGACCGTGTCTCTTCGAAAAAATGGATACCGAGCGCGCTCCTCGAGAAAAGTGCATGCGAAGGGCCGGGGAAATACGTCGGCCGCGCGCGAATTTAACTCGACGCGTGAGCTCTCGACGTTCCCGCCGCGGCTTCGGAAAGAACGTGTGGGAATGAACCGGATGAATATGTAACCGGCAATGATAAATCAAATCGAGGAGAGACGAGAGAAGCGAATGCGCGCAACACACGTGTGTATATATATATATGTATATATTCGTAATTACGCAATGCGTCACGCGACGAATTTCCGCGGAAGGAGGATCGTCGATGAGCGTTGCGCATACGAGTGAAAGACTGTGATAACCCGAAAAGGGGGCAAGGGGGTGGGTTTGAGTGAAAAATTCAACAACGACACATCCGATTCACGACAACGCTTCCATGCTGTACGTCGTCCCTCTCTCTATTTCTCTAATTTCGGATTCGGGAGACGATTTGCGCGCCAACTTCCAATCGATCGGTCGTCATTCTCGATTCCTAATGTATCTCCGATTACCGTTATAGTCAAGGTCTGAACATTACGAGGAAAATAATTATTCTGTAAAATCTCTACTAATTCGATGATAGGGTCGTGTATCCCTCTCTCTCTCTTTCTCAAGCGAACCTCAACGGAAGTAGCAGAGATTTTGGATAGAGACGCTTAATCATTTTCATCGTAATGCGAATATGAATTTCAGACGCGAGACGCGAACTCCTACACGATTAGCCAATCGGTGTGAGATAATCGGCGAAGTATGCGTGCACGAGTAATCGAAGTCCCACGGTGGCCACGCGGGTCCAAACACAGGGTGACGCGTCTTGTGCGTACCTCGTTGTGCGAACGTTTCGGCGATCTCGCGCGGATCAATTGTTTGACGTATCGCCTCGATCGATCGATCGGGGCCAAACAATTATCCGTACGCACGGCGTGCGAACGTGAATGCGTGAATCTGGGAAACGAAAAGCAACCATCGCGAAGGCAGCCGCGCCTTCGGTCAGTGTGCGGATCTATTTGACTGCTTGTACGCGCCGCAAGATCAAACAATCCAGATACTTGGACAATCGGCGCGACGAACAACGCGTGTCGTCGAGTTCTGTGTATTGCATCTGTGTCCGTATGTGTCACGTGTGTGTGTGTGTGTGTGTGTGTGTTTTGTGGACGGTGTATGACGGTTAGTTTGAGCAAACGAAGGATCACTTTCGTGTCCCGTGGGACACGCGAGATCGGATCTATCGGGAAAGTTGGCGCGCGTTGAATCCTGGTGTGTGTGTGTGTGTGTGGCTCGCGAACGAATTTCAACTCTCCCTTTGTCCGAAGAAAGAGGGAGGGGGAAAAAGAGAGAGAGAGAGAACGAGTGAGCGATTAAACGAACGAAGTTTCGCGGGACGACGCGCGTTCCTCGGGATCTTCACGAAGTTTCAGGAGCGAGAGTCGAGCGCGAACGATCGCGACGATCGGCTCGATCGTTCTCGATCGTTCAGCACCCCGTTGTGATTGTCCGTCGAAGATGAGGTAGCCGGGCTTAAACCGCGCGTCGATAATCCGAGGACGGGAAGCACGACCGACGAGAGCGGTCAGAAGCGAAAGTGGCTCGGCTGGTCCGAGGGTGTCGCGACGGGTGGAAACGCGCCTCTCGGTGTTGATCGTCGAATCAGAGTTGTCTCAGAGAGAGAAGATCGTTGATTAGTGCCGAACGGAGGGAGACGGGGATATATGAAGATGTGTGCGGGTGTGTATGATTGTTGTGAGTACATGTGAAGGGAGGAGGAGCGGAGGGAGGCGAGGGGGAAGTGACTAGCGGCGGCGAGCTCTACAACTAAACAACAACAACAGTATTTTCAGTATTATAACAACATTAACAAGTAAGTTTCCTTTTTTTTGTGCGCACGCGCGTGTGTACTGGAGCGCGTACGCGCGAAGAAAAGTGTGCACGCACGCGAGCGCGCGAATATTCGGGACCAGGGCTCTGTGATTTACGTCCTCTCTCTCTCTCTCTCTCTCTTACTCTCCCACTCTTTTCATCGTCGCGGCTCCTCAAGATCCAACGTCGCGCACCCGCCCGCGTCGGGGCCATGTGACGCGGGCGCGAAGAAGAAGAGCACTCGCGGAGACTCGCAAGGAGGGTAGGTGTGTATCGAAGGGGAGCGCGCTTTCTCGCATACCGTCGATAATGTCCGTGGTTCGCCAAAAAGTACACAGGAGCGGCTCGGGAAGTTCCTCCGCGGCGAGAGGAGGCTTTTTCTTTCCATTCTTCTCTCTCTCTTCGCTCTCTTGCCGCGAGAACACGACACATTCGTTTGTTCGGAAGTCGCGATCTCTCGAGAGTCACGCGTCACAACGCGCGTCTCTCTCTATTTCTCTCGGTTTCTCTTCTCACGGCCGGCGGTTGGTAGATGGGGGGGGAGAAGGGCGGATGATGACGACGGTGAGCCGGACGCGTCGCCGATGGAGCGGGCGCGAGAGAAGAAGACAGACGAGCGAAGGGAAAGATCGAGTCGCAGCCGGCCAACGATGAAGAGAAACGAGGAAAACGATGGCATGATTACGAACGTCGGCGTCGGGGCACGAAGATCATCGCCGTCGTCGCGACGTTTCGTTGGTCTACATGCCGATCGGCGGCACTTGCACGTAGCGGTATATGTACAGCCGGTAGTCCTTGCTGGCGAGCACGACCGAGCCGTCGTCCATCAGCGCGACGTCGAAGCACTGGGCATGTTTCACCTTGCTCTCGAGGGCTGACACCAGCTGACCGTCCTGCGTGAAGATGGTCAGGTTGAAGTTATTGTGATTATCCGCTATCAGTATCTCGCCCACGCCGTTGATGCCGACGCCGATCGGATAATTGGTGACACCTTCGCCGCCGATCTGACGCAGGTAAGCGCCATCGTAGTTGAAGACCTTGACGCAGTGCGCGCGGTTGTCGCTGATGAAGATCTCCTGCTTGTCGTTCACCACCACGCCGTTCGGGAATTCGAGGTGCTTCGAGCAGCCGAATTTCTGCAGCACGTTGCCGGACTGGTCGAAGATGATGACGCGCATCACCTTGCACTCGACCACGACGATCCGGCCTTTCGAGTCGACGGTGACGCCGCGGGGGTGCTGCAGAATGTTCGCGCCGAACTTGCGCACAAACTGGCCGTACTGGTTGTAGATCTGTATCTGGTGAGTGGGCGAGCGCTCGGTCACGATGATGTCGCCCGACGTCTTGACAACGGCGACCCGGTTGGGATAGAGCAGCTGGCCGTCCCGCTTGCCGCACTCGCCGAACTGAAACTTGAACCTACCCTCCTTGTCGAAGATCTGGATGCGGTGGTTGTTGGTGTCGGCGACGATGATGTCGTTCTGCGCGTTCACCGCAACGCCCGACGGCTCCGTGAACTGGCCCTCCATCACGCCGAACTCGCCGAACTTGCAGTGGTAAATCATCTTGTTGCGCTTGATCTGCGACTTGGGCGGGAATATCGCGGTGGCGGACATCAGCTTCGATGTGAGGTCGAGGACGGACTCGCCGGGCGCGGCGTTCGCCGCCACGGCCACCGCCGTGGGCATCGCGAAATGGTCGTTGCTCGTCACTACCGGGTAGGCGTCGCTGCCGCCGTTGCTCCACTTCTCGTACGGGTTCGCGTTCATGCCGTTGAGATTGACGTCGCTGATCGGCGTGGAGAACGGGCCGAGGCTGTTGGCCGAGCTGAACCGCTTCGTAATCACGGTGCTGATCGTGTCGATCGACGAGGGCGACGAGGACGAGCCGCAGCTCAGGCTCGACGAGATCAGCCCGTTGCTGTACGACCGATCCAGCAGGAGGCCGCCCAACGAGCTCGCGCTGCCCGGCCCGTTGCTGATGTTGCCGCCGCCGATGCCGTTGCTCGAGAGCGCGGTGGGCCGCGCGATCGGCGGCTGCTTGCCGATCGGCCCGGCGCTGCTCTCGCTGTTGCTCCGCACGTATCCGAAGGTGTTCCTCACGCCCACCTGTATCGCCTGGTAGTTGCTGACGAACTCGAGATCCGCGGTCTGGCTGGCAATGTCGGGCGTGTAGTTGAGCAGCTGCTGCAGCTTCGTGTCGAGGATCTTCTTGATCATCAGCACCTCGATCACGTGGGCGTACTTGGTCACGCGCTCGACGAAGTCGCACGTCTGCAGGATCTTGTCCGACATCTCGGTGGCCTTCTGCGTGATCATGTTCAGCGAGAGCTGCTTCGTCGAGAACACCGACTCGAGCTCCTTCAGCAGCTCCTGCTTGCGCTCGTCCAGCATCGACCGGTAAAACTGGAAGGTCTCGTTGATCTCGCTCTGCGCCTTCTGGTATTGCTTCTGCAGATGCGCCGAGTTCTGGTCCGCCGCCTTGATCGAGGCGCGCGCGTCCGCCGCTTTCGCGCGGCACTCCTGCACCAGCCGCACCACCGTGTCCAACTGCTGCGGCCCGACTTCCGAGACGTGGCCGCAGTCGTGCATCGGACCCGTGTGATCGGTCAACGAGCACTCCTTGCAGACCATGACGGTGCAGCTGCGGCAGAAGTACTTCAGCACCTCTTGCTTGTGTCGCGTGCAGTAGTGCACCTTCTCCACGCCGCCGCCGTTGTTGCCGTTTATCACTAGACTGTTGCTACCACCGCCGCCGCCACCGCCGCCGCCGACGCTGCCGGTGCTGCCGTTGGTGCACTTGGGTAATTCCGTAGTCGTTTGGGTCGTGCCGCAGCCGCTCCCGCCGACCGTCTCGAGCTTCGCCTCGGCCAGGGTGGATATCCGGTGGCCCTCGAAGCAGTGCATGAATTGGTGCGCCATCACGCAGTGCGAGCAGAGAAAGTTGGCGCAATCGAGGCAGTGCGCCACAGCGTCTGGCTCAGTGTTGAACTTGCAGCCGGTGCAGCGAACGTTACTGAGGCCTCCTAGGCGACAACGTGTGCAGGGCCCCTCGCCAGACTTCGGTGCGTCGAAGCAAAGGTCGCAGCTGTCGACGTCGCAGATCGCCGAGTCGCTCGCGGGCGGCGAACTACCGCTCACCGTTAAAGGGGACAGCGAGTTCAGGGACCCGATGGAATTCGCGCGCGATCCCAGCGAGTCTGTCGGCGAGGCCATCTTCAGTCAACCGGCATCCCTGCAAGCAGAAAAATCCTTTAGCGCCCATCCTGCTCGTTACGCGGCAAATGTCGCGTTATTTTGCGACGTCGGACGATCGAGCGCGTTTCGAGTCGTCCTCCTTCGAGAAGGATCCTCACAGTCACGGAAAATGAATTTTGAAATGACTCTTCTGGATTTCCCAGACGACAATTTGGAGAATTTTCCACGACCGATGTGTAATCTTAAGTTTCAACGCTTAGAAATTGGAGAAAAGAGAGCGAGCTTATATATCGTTTAGCAACATGATATAATCCTAAATGAAATGATAAATAAAGGAGTATTGGAGGGAATGCAGTTATGACGGAAAGGGTAAAAACGATAAATAAAATTTACCGATCACGATCATTCTCGACGAACAATCGACTGTGATTGCTCGCAAAATGTGCGAATTTTCAATACATACTTGATTATAAATATCAGATGTAACATTAAAAAGGTCATATAAGTACTCTTCAGAATAAGAGCGTGTAATGGAATTGTGAATCAAGTTCGACATTCTGGGCTCTCTTCTCCCGGAGGTTTTCCCCGGCCAATTCAAATTTCCATAACATTTCCCAGTTCTTCCGGTTCTACCCGGTCTGTAGCAGTGATTATACGTATACGTTATTATACCCCCGATATTTTTACATCCCGATAAATATTCCCCGGCGTTCATTTTGTTCGCTCGCACTTCCGACTCGTCGGCATCGATCGCCGGTATTAGCACACTGCGCGCTGGCTTAGCACGATACCGGGCGTCGACTATGTTCATTTCATCTGTACGATTCTTAGAGCACTGACGCACTAATAACGGCGCTCCGCTAAAAATATCTGAACACGCACCTCCATGAGATTTCCTTAGTTGTGAGATCATATTTGTCGCATTGTTTCGCATTTAGCCATCGTCTACAATAATAACACCGGCAATAACATCACGATAATGCTCAACCAGCTGTTCGGGTAAGAGAAAGTCTCTCCTCTCACGTGGTCGTTGCGCGTAATCGCTATTACGAACGTTTCCTATCTCGGCGGTCCCTTTTATTACGATTCCCACGCGCACGTACAATGATTCTTCCCCTCCTCTCCCCGCAACACAGCGTAGCAGTTATATTCGTGCCGGCTCGCGCGAACGAAGTCTCGTTCCTCTAATTAAATCGCTCGAGCCGGACGGCCATGTTTCACCTGGCAGCTAGAAGAGGAGAGAGATCGGCGAGCCGAAAGGGAAGGGAATGACGCGCGCCGCCGGCGAAGGAAAAGGAAGAACGAGGGAAGACTGGTATAGACCGCGAGTCCAAGGTCACGAATGCGAAGGTTATCGTACTTCTCTCCTACCCGGCCGAGCGAATTTATCGGGTACCGTGCGACGACACGCTCGCTTTTCCACGCTTGTGAGGAGGAGGAGCAGCAGCGAGAAAGATAAAACGCCCGAGGAGGAGGGAAGAAAGGAAGAGACAAAGAGAGAGAAAGGAGAGCTGGAAGGTATTTTTCAAGAACTTCAACGTGCGGAGATGAGTCTGTGCGACGAAGATATGGTTTCTCGAGGAAAATCCGGCTGTGCTCGTCGACGATAGGAGATTTTCATAGAGAAAATAATTGCACGGGCTTATTTTGACTCTTTTTACTTGAGTAAAATAAACGATCAAGTTACTGAACTGACATCGGAAGTAGCGTGAAAGAAAGATGATAGAGAGAGAGAGAGAGAGAGAGAGAGAGAGAGAGAAAGAGAGAGAGAGGCTGCCGCCAAAGAGAAGCGACGGGACGAGCGAAGAGAGAGAGGAAGAACAAAGACCATCTGCTCTCGGCTCCAGGAAACGCTTCTGAAAAGTTTCTACGCTGGCGAGCATCCGCACGAGTGTGCGACCGTGCCGTCTTCGTGCAAGAATTTCGATTAACTCCCGAGATAAAAGGTGAACGCTCCTGAGGGAAGCGTCCGTGGAGCCGAGGTCGCCGGAAAGCCGCGTTTAACATACCGAGGCCGAAGAAGTCGCGAGGAGAGCGTAACGCGACCGCGCCGAGAGCGTGCGACAGGCTCTCTCGCCGAGAGCGAATGCGTGCGCGCGCACTCCATTGTCTCTGTGCGCGTGAAAAATAAAAGAGAGAGAGAGAGAGAGAGAGAGAGAGAGGAAAAGGATAAAAATGAAATGAAAGGAATAAAATAAAAATAAACGAAATGGAATGAAATACGCGCGCGAAATATTTTTCAGCTGACGGGTTAAAACGTCGTTTTTTCAACGACGCGACGATCATTTTTTCCGTGTATGGATTTGTACGCGAGCTGATGGCGTCAGAGCGAAATTTTCTTTTGCGACATTATAAATTTGCTTTAACGAAAACACCGTGAAGCGCAAACAAGTTTCACGCGCGACGAAGAAAAAGGCGATCGCGAGTCCTTAAATGTATTCGTTAGGGGAAAAGTTGGCTCCATTTATAGCGCACACTGTACTGTGAATATTCCGTGTACACAACAAACAAGTTACGGAAGCTTTGACTACATTTTGCCCGTTTATTCGTACACGCGTTTATTTTTCGAGATAAAATCCGCGACGCGTCGAACGTTTTCGCGATTTCATCGGTCGCGTGTTCTTCTCTTCTTTTTTTCTCTCCGCTCATCTTAACATCTGCCTTTTAACGTACGTTCACCCCGCATGTTGGAGATTGTTAAGCGAAGAAGAGAGAGAGAGAGAGAGAAAAAGCAAGCTGTTTCCAAGAACCACCGTACGACGTGTGACAAATCACACACGCCGCGGCGGGATATAACGAGTTAATTCTTTCCCTGCGCGCGCGCTGAATAAAAAATGCTCCGGGGATCAGGGAGAGGAAGCGAGCGCGCAGCAACGTGTCCTTGGCGAGGATAATTCCCGTTATCGAGGTACCGTTGCATTTTCGAACGCAGCCCCTCGGTTGAATGCACCGTGGGAAGGGGTGGCGGACGGCGCGTCTGGTTTCCATGGAAACGCTGCATCGACCGCCCCAACCCTCCGACCAGGGTTGTTCCGTCGAGGGTCGAGTCCGTTGCCACTCGTGCTGATGGTAGTGGTGGTGGTGGTGGTGCGGAGAGAGACAGAACCAGGGGGAACCGGCAACCGCCCCTCGGGAACGGTAACCGTTGGTGCATCGCCCTTCGTCGACGCAGCCCTGCGCGGTGGCGGCGGATGCTTTTCTACCACGGAATGATCGGGAAGAAATTCGCCGGGACGAGTGGAGAAAGGAAGGGGTAAAAAAAGAGCGAGGTCCGATGAAAATTTTCCTCTCGAAACGTCCCCCCTCCCTCCCACGGTCGCTCCTTCCTTCTTCTCGCGAGCGAGTGAACGTTTCCCAATCGAGTTAAAACTTTCGCAACTCACCGTATTTATAAACATCAGTGTTACAAGAATCTCCTCGACATCGTTCTCGAGAGTTCTCTTGGCCTCGCACCGGCTCTCGCGTACCTCCGCGAGGAATTCGGCAGCGTGACGCTCGCGAATTCGCTTCTTCTTGGATTGCTTTTCGACGGGAGTCTTTCGACAACGCGTAACTGACGCGAATATCTCCGAACTTGCAGACTCCAGACCCATCGTCTCTTTCCGAATCACGCGCTCCCGAGCTATCGCGACGATCGTCGGAAGGCAATCCGATTTTCTACGATCAAGAATCGCCCGCAAATTGTCCTAAGCGTCATCTTCGAAGGTTTCGCGGATAAATCCCCGCCGCGAGAGCTCAGGATCAAGGATGCCGGCGATGGCACATCCTCGCGTGTATTCCGCCCGGTAATTTCAATGTCACTGCCGGATGATTCTTCAGCCCCAAACGAGGGGAGCGGCCATCACCCGCCCCCTCCACTCTCGTTTGATTAACGTTATTTCACTCGACGGGCGAGCATCGACCGCGATCGATACACGGCACAGCGACGGCAGTCGCGGCGGTGGGGGTGGAGGCGGCAGCGACGACGGCGGCGATGGGTATAGTCACGTTGCGAGCCGAGGAACAAGGAACGAGATGAGACAGACGGAGCGGGCGAAAAGGCCATCGGCCTGCGCCGCAGACGGATTGGTAACGGCTGCGGCGCGCTGCGGTTATGGGAAAAGGTGGGCGAGCGAGCGAGATGAACGGTGGGAGAGAAATTTATTGCACCTCGGGACCCTCGAGGCCTTGTATATTTAACAATGATATGTGATACGTCGGCGCGAAAACAGTATCCGGAGAAATATAGACGCTGATAAGTACGTGCGCTGTTGGAAACAATTAGGGGAGCACGCTCTGGAGAACAGGTGCGGGGGTACACGGCATAAAAATGCTCCGTCGAAAAGCAGACCGCAATGCTGAGAGGATTTCCCGCAGCAGTGTGTGTATTATCATGTATATAAAAGCGTTTGCGTTTCTTCGATCTGTCAGCGGCCGGTTTTTCATTTATGGAATGCTTCTTTTTCACCGGGTAAAACTACTCAATGCCTGTTTTGTTTTCACGTTCTCAGCATCGAGTTCTCCGGTTATATTTGTGTGCCTCTGGTAAAAACTGTCCTGATATTAATGTGAGACCTCGAAGAAATAAATGGGCCGGTCCTATAATTAAGTATTAGTTCCATGTCGGTGCTGGAATACTGATTCGAAATGTCCGGATTTGGAAAAAATAGTTGAAAATGCCACGAGAAGGAATTTGGAGTCTCTCAGAAATCAAATTCTTTTTTTTCGTGAATTTCTTATTGATTAGTGTTGGACTTATCTAAATTTAGGAATTTACAGAAAATAGATTCAGTTTGGATTTGAACGACTCAATTATTTTGATATGATTTTGGTTGAAATAAAGACAAACAAAATAATCGTATGTAATACCTACATAACAAATAAATTACTAGAGGAAATAAAATATTATTTAAGAAAGTTACTTGTAATGTATAATTGGAAAAAATATGGCACACCTTGAAGCTGTGTTATTAAGCAGAAAGAAATGTATTTTGAACCTACAAGGAAAGAATATTTCAAGCTGCGGAGAAAGAGAGAACGAGACGGAAGCCTACCAGA